ATAGAACACGCGGAGTGGGAAATGGGTTCAAGTCCTGGCCGCGGACCCTGCGTCAACCCTGCTCCCTAAGCTGGCATTGCTCTGTCCCCCGCGGGCCCCAGCCTGACGCAGGGTCGGCATGTAGTAGATGCTCAGTAAACACACGCTGAGTGGCCATCGCTGCAGGTCCCCCCAGACGCAGGGTCGACGTCCCCGTTGCCCACACTCCCAGGTCCTCCAAGATTCCAGATGGGGAAACGGCTGGTCCCCAGGGTGGGGACGTCCAGCACGAGTGGCAGTGTCCTCTCCATGGAGGACGTCCAGCTCCGTGGGTCACAAACGTAACAGCCACAGATAGCACAGCCAGCCCGGGGGGGGGGGCACGCTCCTGTCCTGCTGCCACGTCCGTCCGTCCCACAGAGAGGCCGGCTGAGGCTCCCAGAGGCAGGGCCCCGGGGCCAGGCAGAGTGTGCAGGGCCTGGCCAGCTCCTGTCCCTCACTCCCCGCAGCTCCCCTCCCCCGCCTGGCCGGCCCCTCAATGAGCCCTTTGTCCCCGAGGGGCTCAAAGCTCTGAGGATCCCTGGTTGGGACAAAGGCGAGGAGGGGGCTGCTGGGGTGCCCAGCGGGGGCTCCAGACTCTGCTGAGAAGAATGTGCTCCTGGGGGTGGGGTCTCCATGGGGCCCTCCATGGGGGGACAAAGGCCGCAGCCACAGTGCACGCTGGCCCTACCCTGGGCAGCCCTCACGGACCCCAGCCCTGCCCACTGGCCAGACCTGGAGGGTTCCTGCCCCAGGAGCAGGGGACGCAGGAAAACCAGCCCCCCCCCCCAGGATGCTCCTCCTCCTGCGCAAACAGCTGCTCGGGCAGAGTCGGCCCCCACGGCCCCTCGTCAGCAGCAAGACCCCCGCTGCACTCGGGCCTTGAGATCCTGGTCTAATCTTTTTTTGGGGGGGCCCAGGGAATGAACCAGGGGCCCTCGACCACTGAGCCCCGTCCCCAGCCCTCTTGTGTTTTATTTAGAGACAGGGTCTCCCTGAGTTGCTTAGGGCCTCGCTAAGTTATTGAGGCTGGCCTCCTGCCTCAGCCTCCCAAGTCACTGGGATGACAGGTCTGATCTTTTTAAAAATAAAGAGATTCGGGGCATCTTCTGTGTACCTCCCCTGCCTCTCTGGGGACAGATGGGGCACCCCATGAGGCACTGGGGCACATTGGGGCTGCCACCTGTTAGGTGATCTTCTTTCCTCTTTCATGGTCGGTGGCCCCAGCCCCTCTGAGCCCCCTTCTCTCCTTCTGAAGGCCGCCAACAGCAGGGATTTACGGAACTACAGGGTCCGAATTCTTCATGTCACAAACCAGGAGACCGAGGCCTGAGATGTGTTGTCCTTGGGCTCATGAATTGCAGGTCATAGGGACAAGTTTGAGGTCAATGAAGTGGCCTGCCCTGTCCAGGAGGAAAGACAATGTGTCCTATTCCTAACACGACCGTTTACTGAGCACCTGCGAAGGCGTGGGCACTCGGCTAAGAAGTTCTTTCAAGAGGTTGGTAGGAACTGAAGTTCAGAGAAGTGCGGTGATCTGCCCAAGGGAGCCCAGCATTCCCCACGCTGTCCTTCCTCCTCCATCAGCGGCCCACGAGCCCCACAGGCGCAACTCAGACATGGCTAGTGTGGCACTGGGTGATGGAAAGAGAAGGCGTAGGACCGGAGTTAGGACTGGGGGGGTCCCGGGTGGGGTGTGAGACCCTAAGTGACCCCGTGAGTCATGGCTAGGTGTGGCCCCCTGTAAGTGCGCGAGGAAAGGCTGACCGCTTCTAACCCAGGGAGCCGGCGTCGCTCCTGTGGCGGGGTCATGCTGGCGGTCCCACGGGGAGGGGGTGTCACTCCCGGGGTCACCTTATGTCACACGAGAGCCTGTCTCAGCAGACGGGGCTGAGAGGCCCCTGCGGCCTCAGGGAAGCCACACCGTGGGGCCCCTGGGCCACGGGGAAGGAACTTGGGGGACCTCTGAGAGCCGACCGCAGCCCCGGTCACCAGCCAGTGGAAGGCCAGGGCCCTCGGCCACGCCGCCCCCAGGAATGCAGCCAGAGTGTGCTCTGTCCCCCTGAAACTCACCCACAGGCTCGACTCTCCAGGCACCTGCAGAAAGGTAGCTGGCCCTGGAAATAGCCAAGGTCACAGGGTCACGGTCCAGTTCTGCAGAGCCTGGGTCAGTCCCCACGAGATCAGGGCTCCAACGTGGGTTCAGCTTCCTGCTCTCTCTGTGTGACCCCTCTGGTGGGCTTTCCTCCCATGGGATGCCGTCCACCATGTTGTGACACACTCATGAAGCTCCACCAGAGGCTGACTGGACGGGGCTGCCCGATGTTGGATGTGTGGCCTCCAAAGCTGTGAACTAAATAAACCTTTTTACTTTATCAAGTTTCCACCTGCAGGCATTTTGCTACAGCAACAGAAAACGAAGACAGTAGCAACAGAAAACGAATGGACTGAATTTTTTTATAACTTTATTTTATTTATTTCTTTTTAGGTGGTGCTGAAGATTGAACCCAGGGCCTCGCACAGGCTAGGCGAGCCACAACCCCAGCCCTGAATTTGTATTCACATATTAAAGGTGTATCTAAGCCATTATTTCCACATGTACTCAATATACAGAATTTTAATTGTACTTAGTGGAATATTTTATCCTCTTATTTCTTCGTACTAAATCTTAGGAAGCCAGTGTGGTCGTCATACTTACAAACATGTTGCCGTTTGGGCAGCCGCATCTCAAGCACTCAAGGGCTACAGGGGGCTGGTGGTGACAGAGGGGACAGGGCAGGGATGGACATTTAATGGACTCTAACTCTATGCCCGAAACCTCCCCTCCAGGCAGTTTATATGCTGGGTTGAACAGAATAAGCTCCTCTTCATCCCCCAAAACCCTACACAGACGTGACCTGCCGGGAAGCTTCCTCAGGCCTCTCACGTGAGTCTCTCACAGTCCTGTACCGTGTTGGGCGCGTTCCCTGCAGGGTTTTTTTTTTTTTTTTTTTTTTCAATTTTTTTTTTGAGGGGGCACCAGGGATTGAACTCAGGGCCCTCGCCCACTGAGCCCCACCCCAGCCCTGTTTTGTGTTTTATTTAGAGACAGGGCCTCACTGAGCTGCTTAGGGCCTCACTGTGGCTGAGGCTGGCTCTGAACTCGCCATCCTCCTGCCTCAGCCTCCCCAGCCGCTGGGATGGCAGGCGTGGGCCACCGCCCCTGGCTGTAATTAACTAATGAGCGCACTCGAGCGCACTCGTGTCTGCGACAGAACACCTGAGGAAAGCGCCCTAAGGAGGAGACTCTGCCTCGCAGTTGGGGTGCAGGCTCTGTGGGTACGTGGCAGGGGCCTGTCCCAGGGCAGAACCTCATGGTGGGAGGGCCGGGTGAGCAGGGCTGTCCCCTCATGGCCGCCAAGAAGCAGAGAGAGAGAAGGGGTGAGGACAGGAAGTACCCCTGCAGGGACCTGCTCCCACCTCCCGAGGGTCCACTCCACTGTGGCCGCCTGCGAAGCCAGAGCCTGCGCCCAGTCACCTCCCAGGAGCCCCCGGGAGCCGGACAGCCCGGCCGTCAGCACAGGGACCCTGGGGACAGTCCAGGGCCCAAGTCGAACAGCCAGCTCGGAGCCGTATCGGGACCCCAGGGACACCTGCTGCACCGAGTGGCCCTGGGGGGGGCCAGGGCAGAGCGTCACAGAGGAATGAGAGCTGCCAGCCCCCACCCCGACAGCTGCTGTGCAGGCCTCAATGTGCCACTGTCACCTCCGCCCGTGTTCCTGCCTCACACTGGCATCAGGGCCCTACAGGAACCCTCCAATGGCTGCGGGCTGCGGAGGAGGGAGCAGCACCTGCGAGGGTCATGTGGGGTCAGAGGTCAAGGTGACTCAGAGGCCACAAATCAGGCAGCTGATGAATGTCCTGCCCGGGGCTGGGGTCCCCTGAAACACACTTTGAGAAACACCTGGAATGTTCAAGAGGAGGACAGGGAAGGTCCTGTGACGGCCTTGAGCCTGGGACAGAGGGCGCCAAGCTGAAGGTAAGGTGGGTGGCAGGGTGGGCCTGGGCGAGTCCCGCTCCAGCAGGGCCTGGGGGGACCTCTGGGGTGGACCAGGGCCCTGAGCTGCTGGGCAGGGCCCCCCACGGAGCTGCCGCCCAGCCTGAGCATGGACACCGCAGTCCCATGTGTCCTGGAGCCTGGCCGTTGGCAGGGGAGGCCGCGTCCAGGGCAGGACAGCCCAGCCCCAGAAGCCACCTGAGCCCTCTGAGGTGCTCCCAGGGGGACAGCCTGGGCTTCCGGAGCCTCTCCTGTCCGCAATGTCCACACACACTGTGTCCCGTGACGACCCCATGAGCTGGGCCTGTTTCATAGGTGGGGACACACGGTACAGCACAGCCACCAAGTGGCTTTCCCTCGCCCCCTCCCTCCCACACTGTCAGATACCAGACCCAGGTGATCCCACCCCCCGGGGACTCTGTGTGACAGCTGGAGACATTTTAGGTTGTCCCAATAGTGGAGGGGCGTGCTGCTGAGATCTGGTGGGCAGAGGCCAGGGATGCTGCTCACCCCGGAGCCAAGAAAAAAAAAATCATCAGCCACATGGGGCACGCAGGTCATCCCAGGGGCTCAGGAGGCTGAGGCAGGAGGATCTCGAGTTCAGAGCCAGCCTCAGCAAAAGTGAGGCCCTAAGCACCTCAGCGAGACCCTATCTCTAAATTAAAAAATAAAAAGGGCTGGGGATGGGGCTCAGAGGTTAAGTGACCCTGGATTCAGTTGCTGGTACCAAAAAAAAAAGAAGAAAAGGAATCATCAGGCTCCAAATGTCAACAGGGGCCAAGGGGACCAACCCTGAAGTGACCCAATGTGCAGCAACGTCAACACACACACACACACACACACACACACACACACACACCAGGGGAATTTGAAGAATCCAGCGGAAAGTGGGAGAGGAGAAAGGCAGCCCCGCCCACAGACAGCCCCGCCCACAAAGGCTCCACACTCACCATTAACGTCATATTTATTGTTATTTAGCTGCTCAGGAAAACATATACAGGTATATACAATCTGCATGAATACGGAAGACCGCACTTTACATTAAGAAAAAAATAACACTCAATTCATGAGCTATTGTCAGTCTTCCAACCAAGCATCTCAGAAATGAATTTTTCTTTTTAAGAGTCAAAAAAGACGACAGGATTGCCTAACACACAGCAGAGTCGAGTCTCCTTATTTTACATGTGCAATAGGAACAGCTCCCTCTCCCTCCCGCAGAGCGCCCGGTGCAGGCGCGGAGTCCCGTGTGTTTTCGTCATTTGCTCTGATTCTGCCCGTGAAAACCAAAGGACAGGAAATGACATCCTTTCGCTTAAGGCTGTTCGAAAAGCTGATCCGATCTGGGGCCCGTGGGGAGCGAGGACGTTGGAAGCTTCCGAAGTTTCTAGAATGGCAAGGACCACAGGCTGATGGCCACGTGCGGGCGGCCGGTGGGGCCAAGTCCAGGACACGGGTCGGGTCCCCCGGCCTCCAGCCACCAGGGAGAACCGCTCCTGTCTAGGACCGCGACCCGAAGCTCTCCAGCAGCTGCGCAGCGGACCCCAGGGGCGCGGAGGTGGTGTGGCCCAGCACCTGGCTCGTCCTGCAGCCCGTGGTGGGGACAAGCCTTCCCTCCGCCCGCCACCTGCTTCTGTCCACCCCTGTGGCCAGGGCTGCCTAGGTCAGAGGGCCCAGACCCCAGCCACAAGGGCCAGCCAGGGAACCAGGAGGAGGGACAGGGGACACAGGGTTTCCTGGGCTCTTCTCTCCCTTGGCTGAAAAGTTCTTGGAAATAAACAATGTGGGCGTGGTACGGGAGCCCGGCCTCAGGCCACTAAAGGACACTCCATCTGTAAACTCTGGGGACCCCACAGGCAGGGGCCTGGGAGGGAGCATTTGGAAAACCCACTCGCCAACGAAAAACTGAAATAAAAGTGAGCGTCACCATCTGAACGAAGCAATGTCACCTCGCTTCTCGTCTGACCCACCCTGGAATCGGTGTGACCCCCACCCCCAGAGTCCCAAACGCTTTTTTCACAAGGGCCAGCAGCACCCCAAGGTGTCCGTCTGTCCCTGCCAACATGGGCCTCCAGTGACCGCCAGCGTCTGCCCCAGTAGAGGCAGTTCCCTCCTGAGACACGGGGACATGGCTCTAGTTTTAGAAATCAAATCAAAAGGGGGGGAAGGGAGTCCAAGGTTAAAGAACAAAAGGCCCGGATCAGGCTGGCAGCTGGCAGAGCCCTGGAGAAAGGACGGGACTCCAAGCAAGGGGCCCCATCCTCCCAGGACTGGCTGCGGCGAACAGGAGCAGAGAAGGGGACACACCCAGTCCCCTAGGTCCCCAGGAAAGAACAAAGGCTTCCCCGCGGGCACCTGAGGTCCCTGGGCCTGGAATCCCCGGGGGAAGACCAGAGGCCGCTTAGCCCAGGCCTAAGGCAGAGGCCCAGAAAAGGAGAGAGAAACCTCACTGCCGGGCCTCCTTCCCAGGGCAGCTGGGCGCACCCTCAGATCCAGGCGGGGAGGGCCAGCTTCCAGCGGGACAGCCAGACTGAAGACGAGCCCGGGGTCCAGAAGTGTCTGTCGGAAGGAAAATCTCTCTATTTTCTTAGGGAACAGACAAAACATAATCGCAGGCGGAATACCTAAGGGGTATGACTTGTTTGGCTCCTGTCTGGCTGATGACAGTTGGGTGTCAATAGATAATATTGCGATGACAATCCTTCACCCGGCAATATTCCAAAAGTACTCTTCTCCAGGATTTCCATTTTAATAAGCAGTGAACAAAAGGGGGGGGGAGATGGGGGGAGGGAGGAAAATAAAAGAGAATTTTTTTAAAAAAAGGAAAGCAACTCTTGTCTTATTACGAAATAACAATACTTGGACACAGAAGCTTCGGGAACAAAATAAAGGAAAAAAAAAAGAGGTCATCTAAAAGGGTCGGCCAGGGTTACAGAGAAACGGGGAGCTCTCTACAGGAAAAACCAAGGCGGAGACAGAAGTGGGCTAACTGGGCAGGGTTCACACTGCAACACAGGCGGCAGTTCCTTTAAAAAAAGAAAAGGAAAAAAAAAAAAAGAAAACTTTTGAGGTTTTTTAATCCCCCGCCCCTTTAAATCAACCCTTTCGGGTCCATAAGCCACTGAGCGGGCACCAACCTAGACCAAAAACAACCCAATCGCTCAGCCACAGTGGCCCTTTCCTAACGGGGTGGGGACAGGTGGGGGGGGAGGGCCTGGGGGGGAGGGGGCTCTCGGCGACTCAAGTGAGGGCGGCCACGAAGGTCCCGAATCGGTTGGAGATGTCCGAGTGCAGGGACCGCCAGGTGGGCACGGAGGCGCGGGCCTTGGCGTCCCCCACGTCGTCTGTGCAGTGGACGGACAGGCACTGCAGGTGGCTGCCGGGCTGGGCCGAGGCCTTGCTGATGGCGTCGTGGGCTGTGGAGGGACAAGAAGCGAGAGGGCAGATGAGTGGTGGGCGTGGCTCTGGGGGAGGGAGGTCGAGAAGAGAGGCCACGCCTGGGCCTCGACTCCCGGCAGAGATGGTCTGGGGGTCTGGAGGTCGTGGCTGGGAGGCCGCAGCTCCTCCCTGCCGCTGGGTCCCCGTGTCCCCCTGGGAAGTGGAATCCAGCAAGATAAACCCGGGAGTCTCCAAGAGCCACTGACACAGGCGGGTGGCGGGCTTCCTGGAGGAGGGGCGTCTAAGTGGGGGCCGCGAAGGACGCGTAGGAGTTCGCTGGACCACGCCCGCGGACGGAGGCGGGGCTTGTCCCAGTCCAGAGCAGCCTGTCCTCTGGTCCTCCAGACGGACATTTGCCCAGGGCCTGAAGGGTGCTGGAAACGTCTTAAGCCAGGGCCATGCAGGCCAACCCTGGGCACCTCGACTACAAAGAAAAGACACTGAGACACAGAGGACCCACCTGCCCGGGTCACGCAGGGGAAATGCACAGCACCTCCCCAGGGGAGTGGACAGGATGGGGAGGGGCCTGTGGGTGCCCAAAGGGTACAGCCAGGGGCAGGCAGAGGCCCGGAGTCCCTCAACCCCTGGCTGGGCAGGGCCCCCACCCCACAGCTTGGAGACAGGGTGGGACAGGAGGGGGAGCCTCCCAGGACACCTGCCTATCTTTCATCCCTCCCTTCTTTGGGTTTAGCCTTCTGACTCCAGTTGAGGAGAACAGGAGCGCGCAGCCCAGAAAGGCACAGACACTTTCCTGGAGACACACAGCTCCAACCCAAAGGCTGAGAGACTTGGGTGCTAGCCCCACAAAGGGAGTCTAGTCCCCTCCTCTGAAAATGGAAATGTCCACCTAGTGCACAGACCTCTTTGAGTGTACTAGGTGTTCACAGAAAAGTGAAGGGCATTCCTCAGAAAGGCAGATTGTAAGCTGGGCACAGTGGCACCCGCCTGTCATCCCAGTGGCTCAGGAGGCTGAGGCAGAAGGATCTCGAGTTCAAAGCCAACCTCAACAACAGTAAGGCCCTAAGCAACTCAGTGAGACCCTGTCTTTTATAAATAAAATACAAAATAAGGCTGGGGATGGGGCTCTGTGGTTGAGTGCCCCCGAGTTCAGTCCCGGGTACCTTCCCCACCCCCCAAAAAAGGCAGACTCTGAAGTCCTCAAGGCAGCAAAAACCAAGGCTAGACTCCCCACCAGCAGAGAAGTACCATCCCCAGCTGCTGTGTGAGGGAACGTTACAGACCAACCATGAGGAAGACCATGCATCCTGTGTACCCTGAAAATCCCCTCCATCTTCTCCTCACAGACCCCTAGAGACCACAGGTCGCCATGGTATCTGTTAGACATGCTCGAGGCAGAATCCGGAGGCCATTCACACCTTAGTGTGAATCAGAGCAGGAGCACACAGACCTGCGAGTTCTGAGGGTGAGGTGGAGAGAGAATGGAGCAGAGTCTGGGGGACCTTGAATTTACTGCTGTCCAGTGACCAGTGACCAGCGTCGGACTGTTCTCCTTTTTCAGAGAGGGCACCTAGCCTGCCCAAGGTCACGCAGCCAGGAAGGGACAGGAAGTTTCATTTGATCACAGACTAACGGTGACCGTCTGCCTCGGGAAACGTGGAGAAGGCTGGGATTGAGGATGGCTGCAGGGGACACCCAGACACTGAAGGCCACGGCCCACGCACCTCCACGCCGCAGGCCGACCCAGGGCCTGGGCCTGGAAGGAGTCGCTGCCGCCCAGCCTGCCCTCTGGGATTAGGCAGGAGGCCTCAGCCTACAGGGAGGACCCTCCCGAGGGACAGACCCACGCCAGGCCAGGTGTGACTCACTAACTGGGTTGGGGCCCCTCCCCGGAGACTTTGGGACCTGTGAGCTGAGAGGGGCCAGGCCTGGGGAGAAAGGATCCTTCCCTCCCTCACACCATGGATGAGCCCTTACTGAGGAACTACTATGTGCCAGGCAGCACGCCCACCCTGTGGATCGAGGCAGAGACAGGACAGACACAGGCTTCGCCTTCCCCCTGGAGCTGATGACCAAGGGGCAGTGTGAGACGGTCACACTGAAGTTACAGTGGCACTGCTGTGTGTCAGGGCTCCACCACTGTCCCTCTCTGGTCCTCAGCTGTCTCGCTCTCAAGTGGCGATGACCTCATCTCCCTTGGGGCCTTGTAACAGTCTGGCAGACATCGTGGTCCCCAGGTAGGGCGGCTGGAACTGTCACCGGGGTCTGGGAGGGCCACGAGGCCAGGGGTCTTTGCAGCACCCCGCTTCCTGGGAAAGAGGCCTGCTGGGATTTCCTAGGCTGCAAGATCTGCTGGGGGCGGCCGAGCGCCTTGGGGACCCTCCACGTTCACATCCACTTTACAGACAGGAAACTGAGGCAGTGACAAGACCCCAACCGGTCCCCACCCGCCTCCCTTGGTGGAATTTCCCCAGCAGCATCGGGAAGGAGGAGTCCAGAGACTCTCGTGGCACTGGGTGACCCGGCGCTGGGGCCCAGAGAGGGTGAAACAGAGCACGGACCTGCGACTCCCCGAGCCTGGGCCCAGGAGGAGGGAGCGCCACGGCAGCCTGGTGTCCACAGGTGTCCTTAAGGGAGCGCGTGGTCGTCGGTGAGCTCTGGTCACCCCAGCAAGACCAAACCCATCCTCCGGGGACCCGCTCCAGCGGGGACCCAACACGCCCTAGGACGGTGGCCCCCGGGGAGGCAGATAAATCAGTCCCAAAGAAGACCCTCAAGTCACAGCCTGCCCCAGTAGGGGAGAGGCCCCGGGTCCCCAAGCCTCAGGACGACAGGCAGCCGTCCCCCCCCACACCAGCACCAGAGACAGAACCGTCCCCTGCAGAGTCCCTGGGGCTGGGGATGGCCCCAGGCTGTGGTACCAGTGCTGGCAGACACCAGGGCACCCAGCGGGTATTGTCACGTGTCCCACTTGGTCACTGCCAACTGTGGCTGCAGAGGGGAGGCAGGGAAGTGCCCAGAGGCCTGCGGTGACGTGGGTGGCCCTCGTCCCCACTTGACAGACTGGAAGACTGAGGCACCCGGTGCAGGTGGATGCCCCCCTCGAGGCCCGAGGTGCCCAGGCCAGCGGCTCCTATCCACAGACCCCGGTTTGCTCATCTGTCACTTGGCGGTGGCAAGTCTGGGCCCAGCTCAGGACAGCTTGGGGTCCATATAAAAGAAAGAGCTGGCACTGACGGAGTGGGTCGGTCCCAGAGGCAGGGACCCCTGGGGCCTCCCCCCTGGGGCAGCATGGCCCGAGGGGCCTCTGGCGGGTGGGGACAGATGGGCCAGGCTGCCCAGCAAGGACAGCTGTCGGGACCTGTATGAGCCAGGACAGGCCGCCTGTGTCCCGTGCCCTTGGTAGAGGCCTGGAGGTGGGCTGCCCTTACTGTCCCTCCGGCCACGAGCCCCAGGTCAGATGTCATCTTGGGCACATCTTGACCCCCAGTGGGGACGGTCACCTTCACCAAGGGGAGGAGAGAACGGGCAGCAGGTGCCAGAGGTACTTGTGGAATAATCAGTGGCCCCTTTTCTCCCATGGGGCTCAAAAGTGACAGGGGCCACTGTGTGTGCAGCAGAGGCCTGTTGCCTGTCACCACAGCTCCAGGGCCTGGCTTGGGGGGAGGTAACAGGCCACTCCGAGGGATGAAAGCGCCGGGTCCAGGTGAAGCGCCGCAAGCTGCCGGCCAGGGTGGCCGAGGACAGGGGAGGGTACCTGCCACCACCTGGGGACACTCGGCTGTCCCCTCCCTTCTTCAGGCCCCCACGGTGGGATCTCAGGTTTCTGAAAGTCCACCGCAGAGCCGCCTCGGTTTGGGTGAGACGCGGGAGCTGGGGCCGGGGACAGCCACCCTGCCACCCTGGGACCCTCGGGCAGGGAATTTCTGGCCCAGCCACCTTCTGTCCCTGTGCCCACCAGGGGGATGGCCAAGGGTGTGGAGGAGGAGGACAGAGTGGCCAGTGCCTTGGGCCAGCTGTGAGCCGGGGTCACATCGGGGTCCCCCTGGCCGCTGTGGGGAGAACTAAATGAGAGAATAGAGGCCAGGCCCCACGCAAAGGTCAGGGCCCCGAGTCCCAGCCCTCAGCAGCCCGGCTCTGGAGATGGCCAGGGCTGGCCCTGCCGCTTGGGGCACTTTCTGTGCTGGCGGGGACTGAGGCCAGGCTGAGTCCCCGGGATTGTTACTGAGACTCTGCAGCAGCAGCGGGGCCGGGCACCTCATCTCCTCCAGATGAGTTTGGTTTCCCCTTTACTTGGACCTCGGAGGGGACTTCTGTGACAGGTGTCACTCGGCTAGCGGCTGGCTGCTGGGACTGGAAGTAAGGCCCCAGGATGGCGGCCACAGGGCTGGGCCAGCTCCTCTCTGGGCCTCCCCAAGGCCGCGGCACACACGCCTGTCCCCAGCCCCAGGCCTCCGTGACCCCTCGCTGCCCCCATCCTCCTGTGTGAAC